TTAACCATTCACCCATTCTGGATTTTTCTAGTATTTGGCTATTTACCAATAAGATTATAATATTTATATATGGCTTTTTTTATAGACATACATTTTTACTTCTCAGATATACATGTGCAAGAGTACAATTATTGGATTATATTGTAAGCATATGCTTAGCTTTATACAGAATTGCCATACTTTTTTCCATATTGCCATATATACATGATCCAGTTTCTCTGCATTTTTGGCAGCATTTGTGGTTGTCACTGTTTATTTTGCTTTTGTTTTTGTTGTCATTGTTCTCTTGTTTTCCATTTTGATAGTTGTGTTAATATATCTCATTTTAATTTGCATTTTTCAAATGGATACTAATGCTGAACTCTTCATGTGTTCTTTTTTGCCTGCTTTTTTTAAAGAATGTCTTTGGCTTTTTATTTTTGCTGTGGAGTTTTGAAAATTTTTTCATGTTCTGGATATTGGTCTTTTGTTAGATGTGTGGTTTGTAAATATTTAAAGTCACTTTCTGTGACTTTAATGCTATTATTTTTTAAATGATTCTTTTTAGTTCATTCTTAACATATGGATATATGACTTAACTGTTAGTATGAAGATCTTATGTCTATATCTTTGCTTATTGAGCCTTTTATTTCTAGTAGATTGTTGTTGTAGATTCTTTAATAGTGTCTAACCTTTAAAGACATAAATACATTTTTTGAAGTTATTTTCTTACTTATGATGCCATTTTTCCTCTTTTTTTTTCACCTTGATATACTGTTAGATATGATATCTAATGTCATGTAGAATTGAGTTAATGGAAGTAGCAATATTTGCCTTGCTTGCCATCTTAGGAGAGAGGCATTAAATCTATTGTTATATGAGGTACAGATATTTCATTAATAAAAAACGATATCTAGTTGAGGAAATTCATCTGAATTTGCCCAGATTTTTTTTATCATGAATTAGCATCATTTTTTTTTAGAGGCCAAGTTTCATAAAGGTTTTACTTAAAAAAATGTGTCTACAAAGTACTCTTCCAATCCAAGAGACTTTTCCATAGGATTCATGTAGCTTTCTGCCTTAAAGATTACAGTATTACATCCAAAGGGGAGTTGCAAAACCTATAGGGGAAGAAGATTTTTTTTTTTAAAGTGCCTTTAAAATGTGAAAGTGAGTAATATAATTGTTGAATCCACTGAAATTTTAAAATTTTCTTTAAAACGGCCCATATGGTATGCACAATATCACAGCTGGTACAAAACTGCCTGTATTTAGTTTGAACACAGAAACAATGCGTATGCACAGTATTCTTTGAAAAATAATTTGAAATGCTACCACTGCATCGTAAGACCAATTTAGACAGTATTGAGAAAATTAACAAACAAGCAGAATATTAAAGTACTCAAACATTTACTTTGAATTTTAGTATGATTCACTGATAAGGGTAAAAAAAAGTTGCTGCGAAACTAACTTGGAATGCCTTAGTTCAAACTACATGTAACATACTTTGCTGTGTATATTCTAAGAATGTACAAATAGGTCTTAGGATGTAAACTCCCATTTCCTAGCTTTTTTTGTTGCAATCTGGCAGCTTTGAACCTTGAAACCATTTTTGCAGTTTCCTCTGATGTTTCTGACAAAATTTCTTTTCTTTCTGGAATGGTGGGTAGTGCAGGGTGAGCAGTGGCTGGGTGTGGTGTTAAGGAGCTGATAAAAATTCTTTTTCTATTACAGTTCCAGAAAAAGCCTCAGGTGCTCCCAATGAGGGCCAAGATTTCCTTTGATCATTTTCTTGTGGTTCTTCTTCCAAAATGCTCTCACTGATATCACTGCAAGTGGCTTCTTCACAGCTAATACTCCTCAAAACTCCCCGCCTTTCATCAAATTCAGCATACTGCTCTCACTGGTATCACTACAAACTCTGTTCTCTCTGCTTCGAGACTTGAGAATTGATTTATGAGGGACATACTCTCCATTCACAACATCAACAAAAACTCTGTATATGTCAGCAGGAGTTCTGATTGTAGGCAACTTGTGGGCAGAATGACCACTTCCAGAGCTATTCTTTCATTTAGGTTTGGCTTCTATCTTTTCGCTGAATTTTAAAGTTGTATTTTTTCCAGTATTTATTTGAACCCTCTTAGGTTCAACGGTATGAGAAAAGTATATTGTTGGTACAGAATTATCTCCAGTCCCTGAAACATGATGGTCATTGTCATAATCACTACCATCACCACCATCATCTTCTTCTTCCTTTTCTTCTTCATTACTGTGATAAGCATCTGAGCCATTCACTGAACAGTTCAATTTACCATTCACCTGACCACTGAGTAGTTTTGAACTTGCAACACACTTAGGTCAACTGCTAGGAGTAAGGAGGGCTGTTATTTGCTGCATCACAGTCATATTTGTGTTCTCATCTTCCTTCTCCTCTTCAGAAGAGGTTGTCTCTTCTCCATTTGTAATCACAGTGTCAGGATTACTGTAAAGTTCACCCAGTAATTCCTCTTGTCTCTCTAGTTCCACAAGTCGAGCCCACAGTTTTGCATTAGCAAGAAAATCCTGGATCATTATTAGCAAAATCTGCTTCAAAAATATCTGAGGTTTTTGGTTTAGAATGAGGTTTATGAGCAATTTGCTGTTTTCCTTTAAATTCAGAGTGACTTTTTAATTTCTTCCCTTATGTCAACAATATCACCTGCAGCCTCACTCATTTTCTGTAAATCTTCAGTGAATTCAACTCTGGATTCAAAATTTTTCATTACTTTTTTTAAAGTCATCTATTTTTTTTCTTGCATGTTCTTTCCGGTGCTCACCTAAACCTACACCTTGCTTTTCGGAGCACTTTGCAAGCCAGCTGTCCCCACGTAAAACAGTCACTTCATTGGTATGGACAAGTTTTCCTGGCATGAAGGCTAAGGGGCCAAATGGTACCATAGTATTTTAAGAGAGCTTATGGGACAAGGTACTAAGTCTTTCTTGAAGAGCATTGTAGTCATCATCCACCTTCTTCCAATGCTGGATTTTCTCTTGGCAGTTAGTGACCACCTCTGCCGGCTCCTCGCAGAGTCTCTGCACCGCGTTGTCTTCGGGATCAGACGGGGCTCCATGCCCGGCCGCCGCGGGCCTCAGCGAGGCGAACGAGTCCTAAACAAGTGTTTATGGGAGCGGCGTGGCCAGCGGCTGCCCTCAGGCACCGCGCGCCGGGCACCGAGGAGGCCGCGCCGCCTTGGCCGCCACCGCGGGGGTCGTTCCTCCAGTCCTGGCTGCCTGCGGCCGCATCTAACGTGCGCACGCCGCCCGCACCGCCGCCGCTGCCGCGGCTCCGAATGCAAGCCAGAGAGCTGGAGGAGCCGCTCCCGTAGCCCGGCCCAGCCAGGCTCCCGCAGAGGTGCCTCCTGCCTCCTTGCGCCCCCCAGCGCGCCCGCCTCTCGCCCCGCTCCATCATGCTTTTGTCAAATGCTTTTTTTCTGTATTTATTTGAAATATCCTACGGTTTTTAATCTGTTCTTGTTTGAATGGGGAAAGACACTGATGCTTTTGCATTGTTGTGTCAGCCTTGTTCCATGGTTAAATACCAGTTGGTTATGATGTTCACTCATATTGTTAGATTTGGGTTGCTAACTTTTGATTGTTTTTAATATGTGACAAATATGCCAATTAAAACATTTTTAATCAGTTATTCCTTCCCACCTCCATCTTTTTATAGGAGGATGGAATTTTTTTTTTTTTTTTTAAATGTATTTTAGTGTAGGAGCTACAGGGTCTCACTACACAGATTGGACTCATAGTGATCTTCTTGTTTTCAGCCTCCCAAGCGCTGGGATTACAGGTGGGCGCCACCACACCCAGTCTCAGTCCCCTTCTCAGCATGCTCAGGTGCAGGGCAGGCATGGCAAGCTGGGGATCAAAACCCAGCTGCTGTGCCTGCCTAGGCAGGGAGGCTGGAATTCTGAACCAGGTGTTTTTGGTACTTGAGGTATCATTTATCATAGGTTCTTAGTCTGTTAGAACTTGCATTTGTAAGGATTTGTAAGTACATTATAATGGTGCTTTATATTTATAGTAGTTGTTATCTTATGAGTGAAATGCTGGCACAAAATAAAAATAACTTAATTTTAACTAATTATCAAAGATTTGATTTTTAGTCTTTATTCAGAGCTATTGCCAATGTTCATACTTACAGCCTTCTTGGAATTACTGTTATTTGAAGAGAATGATATTAGATGAGATGATAGAAATTCTGTTTTTTTTCTTAATGTGAATCTCCATGTAAATTTCTATATACTTTAAGAATAATTCAAAATATAATTCAGGCTTTCTAGGTTATTTTCTTAGTCACTTTCTTATTATTGGGGCATAATACCTGACACAACCTAAAGGAAGAGGGATTTATTTTGGCTTATGTTTTTAGCTCATAATCACTGGCTTCAAGGCAGGGAGGTGTTATGGAAGGATCTTGGTAGAGGAAAGTTACTCATATCATAGTAGCTTAGAAACAGAATGAAGAGAGGAGGTAGGGAAGAAAATGTGTCCTTCCAGGTCATGTTCCCAGTGGCCTGCCTCTTCTGATCAGGCCCTACCTTTAAGAAGTACAGTTACCTATTAACTCCTGTAATCCAGTCACCTTCCTGAAGCCCTGCCTTATAGTCACATGAGACTTTGAGATGTCTAGATATAAACCGCAACAGTTATTGAACTTCACACCATGTCTAGTGTTCCCTAAAAAGGCATTAAAATAATACTTTAAAAAACCATCCTTCAGCAGTAAAGCTTGGTTGACTCTATTCCTATCATGGGGATGAAAGAGTATTTCTGTCGAATATTTTAACTGACCCTTTTCAGCTCTTGTCAAGTTGGAAATACAGTATTACTTAAAAATAGTGAAGGGTAGTAGAAAGGATGTGTTAATGAAAATTGAGTCAACACACATACTCTTTGTTAAGTGGCATCAATTTTTTTAAATGAAACTGTTGGCGATGGAAAAATATGTGAAATTGAAATATTTTCTTATATTTTAGTCTGAAAACTTGGAGAATACAATAATCATACCAGATATCAAACTACATAGCAATCCTTCTGCTTTCAATATTTACTGTAATGTACGCCATTGCGTTCTGGAATGGCAGAAAAAGGAAACATCACTGGCAGCTGCATCTAAGAATTCTGTGCAGAGTGGTGAATCAGATAGTGATGAAGAAGAGGAATCCAAAGAGCCCCCCATCAAACTTCCAAAGGTAAGCTACTAAATCTTATTTAGATGCATAATCCTAAATCTTATTTAGGATTAGTTTGGCTATAGTACATACAGTATATGTGTACTCCTGAAATAGCATCCTTTTTGTAAAATTGTTCATTAAAAATAAACAAGGCTTATGAAGCCAGTATTCTGGTTCCCCTTGCCTAAGAAGAAAATTAAATCCAATCCTATATCATTTGGATAGCATTCCTTATTAACAGAAGTATATAAGGTAATTGTTATAAAAACATATATTATAGTAGAACAAGCTCGTCTCAAACTACTCTGTTCTTTTTAAGTCTTGGTATATGTTTTCTTCAATGTAGGTGTGGTGGGTAACAAATGAATAGGTGAAAATGTAAGCATAGTTTAAAATGGTACGTATAGGTGAATCATGCATATTGCATTTTTCTACATGTAGGCATTTTTAAATGCCTCCTCGATTCTAAATGATTCATATATTGCCTTTTAATGAAACAGATACCTTAACACTATACCTTGAAAACATGCATCTGTTTCTTGGAAATAGTGGCAGAGATGGAACCCATGTTCCCAATCTGATTTCTCTTACATTTTATGGTAGCTGTTCCCAAATGTGCCACTGTCTTTAATCGTATTGTCAGGTTTTTCTCACCTTATTTTCAAAAGATGATTTGCTTTCTGTTTTCACCAGAATAAAAGATTTATGAACGTCTTTATAGTCTTAACTCCTGCCTCAGATCAGGATATTTTTTCCCTTTCTTCAGTAATGGTTTTAGCTGCAGTTGCTATACCAGTCTCTTTTTTTAGTCTAAAGCAAACATGTTTATCTTTTCCCTATAAACACCTCCAGATAATCTCTAATTATAACTCCTTATGCTTAAGTAGCAGAGGTTGGGAAGAAAAAGATAAAGTTAGGATGTAAGACTGCAGAACTTTTGTAATGTGTTTTGGTAAGAGTACTAGTCTAGGTGGGTGAATCACACTGATGTTAATATGTTAACTATATTTGCTTAAGTTCAACTTTGGGAAGGCAAACAAAAGCCCAAAGTAATCTACACAGATATGCAGATGTTGAACAATGCACTGTGGTACAGATTAAAAGATATTGCATAAATATGAAATTTTTTTTGGGGGGGGGGTACCAGAAATCAAACTCATGACCTTGTACTTGCCAGACAGGTGCTTATGCTGCTGAGCTATCTTCCCAGTCCCAATATTGCATAATTAATAACAACTAATTCTGAGGTCTTTTTAAACCATCAAGATAAATGGGTGTTAAAGAAATAAAGTGTTTGGCATTCTTAACATTTTCCAGCAATTTTTTTTTTTTTTTTTTTTTTTTTCCAGAACCAGGGATTAAACTCAGGCCCTTGCGCTTGCCAGGAAGCGCTTATTCTACTGAGCTATCTCCCCGGCCCCTTTCCAGCATAGTTAGCAGTGTCAAAGGGGATCTTTCAAAGCAAATTAAAACCCAAGTTGCTAATAGTCAGTGTTCTGTCATGAACTCAGTGACCTTGAATTAGGGTGTAGTGGTTAAGAATATGAGTTTTGAAGCCAAATTACTTGGGTTCAAAGTGTCAAAATTAGTCCCAGCCCAGGTGCAGTGTGGACCGGACCCTCTCCCTCCCCCTCGGGCCTCCCCCCACCACTCCACCTTACGTCCCCACCCCTCCCGCTGAGTAGGAATTTCTGCCGAGTTCCTGGAACCCCCAGACCCAATCCTAGCCCAGGTCCTGTGAGTGTGTGGAGAGCTTCCTGCTACCCTGCGCCGG